CGTGTCGTTTGCGTTATATTGATACAAGATGTGTGGGAGCACCTCGACGCCGCCGTGACTCTGTTGCACCGTCTACGTCCTCAGCAGTGGAATCGCAAGCACCACCGACGTTTGATTTTAAAAGCCATTACTTCATTTGTGCGGAAAGAATACCGAGTTTGTCAGAAGAAATGAGGTTGCATGTGAGAAAGCGAAAACCGGTTCGCACTGTTACGCGAAATTCGATCAGGAATACGATTTTGAATTGATGTAATTCACGCACCGACGACTTTGCAAGTGAAATAGTTGCGCGCATTCAAAATGTTAGTGACTTTGTAGCTGTTAGCGCGCGATATCACGCCTCTTGTGTCCGTAAAGTAAATCGCGGGTGTTCGAAAGATCGAGCCGGAAGACCAGTCTCTAACGAAGTAAATAGTGCTATGGCGGACATTTATGATTACATCGAAGAGAATAGCGACGAATGTCAGTTTACATTCAAAGAACTACAGGAGTGTATCAAAGATTTCGTGCCGTATCCGACAACTATAAAGCAGCGCTTACAGGAAGAGTACGGTCATGAAATTCTGATCTTTGAGAAACAAGGAACGCCTTGTATAATTTGTTTCCGTAATACTGGTTACAAAATACTTTCGAAAGCCTGGTACGACGCAAAGAATTCCGATCCGGAGGAAGAAAGGTTGAGAGTGATTCGCGAAGCAGCTGCCATTATTGTCGAGGACATACGCTCAAAACTCTACGATACAAAATCATATCCCCCCTCCGATAATTTCATGGACAACGGGACGACTCCATTCCCGCTTCTCTGAACGTGCTACTCTCCGAAATTATTTGTAAAACCAAAAAAGGATCGCTGGAATCTTGGAAAAGGAAGTGTACTTCTATCGCGCATGCTATTATATCGGCAGTTCGTCCGCGGTCTTTCATTTCTTCTTTACAAATCGGCGTTGGCGCTTTCTTGTACAAGAAATTTGGCTCCAGACTTTTGATTGACGTTCTTTCATCGCTGGGATTTTCCTCGTCGTATGAGAACGTATCATCGTACGAAGCTACTTCCATCACGCGACCACAGCGCCAAGTAAAAGACACCGATTTTATACAGTTTGTTTACGACAATGCCGATTTCAACATTAATACGCTGGACGGGCATGACACGTTTCATTGTATGGGAGGAATACAATGCGTAACGCCATTCGACGCTATTGAACCTGATACAGAAATGACTCGAAGCTCAGTCAGAAAATCCGCTGCGGCTATTGCACAAATTGGGCATGAAGAAATGCGATACTACGGAAAAGAGAAATTGGCTGGTTTCCGAAAAGTTCAAGTTGCGAAAATTGCGATCGCGGGCACTATTTCTAAAACATGTCTTCCAACCATTGGCGATTTCATGTGGTTGTACGGGAAATGGGCCTGCGTAGCTGGCATACCGGGGTGGAATGGTTTTATGGAAGAAGTTACTGTCAACAAGAGCTTCGTGAGGTCAAAAGTCATGTTTCTCCCATTCATCAACGGTTCTCCTTCCGATTACGACACGATTTACACGACGCTGTGCTCGGCTCTCGACAGGAGCAAGGCTACCAGGTGCAAGTCATGTATCGTTACATTCGACCAGCCGCTGTTTTGGAAAGCTCACGACATTGTTTCCAACGCCGATCCTTCGTCTGAATTGAGTTCCATCATCGTTCGCCTCGGGGGATTCCACATTCTACTTTCATTTCTGGGAGCCATCGGCTATATAATGAGTGGTAGCGGACTCGAAGATCTTTTAAAAATCATTTACGCTGAAAATAGCGTTGATAAGATTCTCTCTGGACATGCTTACTCGAGAGCAGTTCGTGCTCATTTCCTCGTTCATGCGTCCCTAGCGAAGCGGATCATGGAGACGATTGACTTTCAAGATATCGAACGCGAAGAGGTTGAGCGTCTTTTGTTAACCTCAGATCGGGCTGTTGTCCTCACAGCGGGAGAAAACGATGCTGTAAAAGAAGTTGTCCGAAAATTTGAAGCGGCGGTGAACCGAACCGAGCAGAATGGACCCACCGCTAAACTGTGGGTGCAGTACTTTAGAATGGTCACCTTGGTAAAACATTTCATCGAAGCAGAACGTTCCGGTGACTGGGATCTCCATCTCAATGCAATTCGAGGGATGCTTCCTTCCTTTCACGCAAGCGGACACTTTCTGTACGCGAAGAGCGCTCACCTATACTTCGAAGATATGGAAAATTTACCGGGCAAAATGCCGGCGGATGAGTTCGAAAAATTCACAACACAAGGCTACTTCACAATAAGGCGCAGCAACAAATTTTGGTCAGGCATCATGTCCGATCAAACAATAGAGCAAACGCTGAATCGGGAATCAAAAATTCATGGTGGAATGTTCAAGCGGGGAGCTGACGAGAGCGTGGCAGTAAGGTGGACCATGAGTGCGGTACATATGCAAAATATTTGCCAACAAATTGAAGATTTCTGCGATGTTTATGGCGGAACAACTGAGCAGCACGTTGACTTTAGACCGAGTCGTGTGAGAAGAGACAATTCAGATATGGAAAAAATTGACCACTGGTTCGATCATCACAATCCTTTCCCTACGGATTCTCAAATTATGTCGATTAGTTCGGGTATAATCGGCACTGAAAACATCAATTGCCATCTCGCTTCAGAAATTGGTACAAAATTGCTCAACAATTTGGTCGGTACAAATTACGATTCGGTGAAATTCAAACGAAAAGATAAAGTTTCACCCTTATCAGCAGTTGGCAGCAGCATAACAATCGACAAAACGTCTGTGCCCATAAACCCCCTCCTGCTTTTTCAACGAATCAGCATTTCTAAACAAACAAACGAAGACCTGAAGGATTGTTTTGGGTATGACCTTGCACCGTACCCTCTTCCGTTATTTAACGAAGAAGGAATGAGAGGAAAGGTACGAAGTCCACGCTTTACAACGCTTTTGAGCCTCTACAACGTTCTGCAGTGATGGGAGAAAAACGTCTCGATGTCGTCGACGGAGGCTTTTTATTGCACAAGGTTGTGTGGCCTCGATCGAACGCGACGTTCAACACAATATGCGATAACGACGTGTCATACGTGAAGAGACACTTCGAGAAGAACGTCGTAATTGTATTCGATGGTTACCCTGAAGATTTACAAACAGTCGTTTTGAAGGGTTGGGAACGGAGAAGACGCGCAGCCAAGCACCGTTCGCCTGAAGTAATTGTCAACGCGACCGCATTTCCCCCTACGACGCAGGAAAAATTTTTGAGCAACGACAAGAACAAGGCAAGGCTTATTGACATTTTGAAAAAAGCTTTGCAGGATTCTGGTGTCGTTATTCAGCAAGCACCGGTAGACGCCGATTCTTTCATCGTAGGAACGGCAATTCAAGAAGCCTCAAATCACGACGAAGTTAAGATCATCGGCGAGGACATCGATCTCCTCGTGATACTAACTGCCTTAGGGTATCATTTGAATAACGTTTTCTTCAAGAAACCGGGCAGAGGACGGACTCCGGAACAATTATATTCACCGGCAAGTTTTAAGTATGAAGAGTGTAGCAAAACATATTTTGTTCTTACATGCCTGCAGCGGATGCGATACAACGTCTTCAATATTCAACGTAGGAAAATTGAAATTCATCGAGACTCTCAAGAAAAACAACAATTTGAACAAAGCTCTGAGCTTGTTCCGCGAGGCAAACATTCACAAACATTGTTTGTGGAGAATGTTTCCTAATCGCATTGTTTGGAGGCGATGAAAATGTAAAAACACTGGACGACCTGAGATTTAAGAACTTCACAAAATCAGTTACGAGGAACAAATTCAATTTTGCCACACTTCCACTTACTTCGGCAGCAGCAGAACAACATATCTACAGGACGTACCTGCAGGTGCAAATGTGGATGGAGTACGAAGTCAACGCTACGGA